AAAATAGAAATATCCAATGAAGAAGGAGTTTTCAAAAGAATTAGAAATGAACTTTTGCCAGTTTTGTTGGGTGGGGTGAAAAAGGATGGGAACATTGACCCATAACAAATAAGCATGGAGTGATCCACAAGAAAATGGGTTATTATCCCAGAAATCCTGATTCTTCTCTGTAACTCTTTGTTGCATCCACCTACTACTTTCCAGCTCATTTAGGCACACCTCATAAGGGCCACCTTTGCATATTTACACCTCCCCTTCCTAGAGATACAATCATATCGTCCTAGGAACTATTCCAGTTACAAGAGAAGTGCTGCAGCCCACAGAGCTGTTGGTCAGGTTAAGACAGGCTGAGGAGAGAGCTCACATTACAGCAAACCTGCAGCAAATTCTGGGAATTGGCCCATCAGTGCAGCATCTCCCATGTGGAGGGGAGGTCACCCTTGTTCCTTTCCCAGGGATCCCTCCATCTCCTGTCACAGCAAGAGGAAGAGCACAGCATGAGAATCAAAGAGGATCCAAGCACAGCTCTCAGCACAGGAGAACGGATGGATACCATGCATAAACACTGCTGCAGTCAATTTAACAGTCAAGGCAGAATGTGAATTATCCTGGACCTGATTCAAGCAGGATATAGAGGTCAAGTCTATGGAAATGTTTGCATCCTGCAAATTTCCAGTAGAGAATGGAGTTATGGTGAGACTCACAGCCCACTCTGCATAACAGAGCAGACTGAAACAGAGAACATGCTTTTGATGATATAGAAACTTGAGAGGAAATATCTACCCTCATTGTCATGAACACAGAGGTTAAAAAAAATTCAAATTAATAACTAAATATCCAAGATCACAAGCATCCAAACACTGGGATCAGATCCTTTCAGACCTTCTGTCTCTCCCCTCTGAACAGCAACTTGCCAGGGTGAAAAATTCAATGTAATGAGATCAGCTTTATTATTTTAGTCTCAAAAGTGCAGATGGAGCATATGCCTGTAGATAGTAATATTATCTGTATTACTGCAGTGTCTGAAGACCCCAATCAGACATAGGCCATTGAACACTCAGAAAAAACTCTGAAAGAAAATTTCTGCCAAAAACAGTTCACTATGTGCACTAAGGGAAAAATGCAACCTGCAAATTTAATTAAGCCAGTGGAGATAACCATGGAGAGGAAGCCTGTAAAAGAATTGTAGATGAACACACAGGTACTGGCAACTTTGACAACATCCTGCAGAAGAGCCACAAGCCTGTGCTGAAGGGTTTTGCTTGTTTGAAACCTGTAAGCTATGCTTTGCAAAATAGTTCTTTCAATCTTTAAATCAGATTTTTAAAATATTAAAGAGTGTATAAATTTTAGTTGGCCACCTGCTCACTTTGAGAGGACCCTCAATCAGCTGTGTTAATAAGAACATCACCTCACATTATGCAAATAACATTTAGACCACAGAGTTCTGCTGAAGGTTTGTGATCCCTGCTGATGGAAGGTCAATCCAGCCCCCAGGCACATGAAACCTCTGTTGTTCACTGCACAGCAAATACACAGCACACAAACCAGAAGGAAGTGTCTTCATAGATTTCATGCTTAGCCCTCACTGTACAGGCCCATCACACTCAGATTTTGTTTATGAAACTCTACCACATGAAGCCTACATAGTGAAAACTGTACTCAGATGAAAACATAATCCGTCACCATCATCTCCTTCAAAACTTCCATTCAAAAAGAAGAGTTTGGGGACAGGGTCAGACACAATCTCCTGCAAAGTGCAGCATGTGCCAACTAAGTTACCAGGCCTATTTGCTTTAAAATATCATAGTCCAGTCTTCACTGGGGGATGTTATGATTTTACAGAGTGTTATCATTCATGCTGTGTTTATCATAAAATGACACATACTTTGAAGTATTATTTTTCAATTATGCAGGAAGTGGAGTAGGAAGTAATTTATTGTGTGAAATCTGTCCTCATCTTCAAGAGTGACTGGCAGATATAGTGGAATTTAGGGACTTGAATATCATTAGGGACAGGAGTGGCTACATAACTAGTAATCACTGCTAATCTAGTGGCTGGCAAGGTGACATGCAGCTACCATAGCAACCAGCATAAGATCAACTGCTTGCTTCCAAAAAGTGCCTACACTTCACTCAGCTACTTGGCATGTTTTTAAAGTCATGACAGAGAAAATAAAAACACAACACGCACTTTAGAACTTGCATCTTTCCCTGCTTTTCTTTAACAGAGGAGAGAATGCCTCAAAATAACAATTTCACTGGTTTTACTGAGAACGCCCCACTAGTGACTAGAAGGTAAAGTTTCTGGAGCCACATAACATCAGTAACATCCCCATCACTCTTACCTAGGGAGAGTGCACAACAAACACCAGGGAGACAGCAGGCACCCTCAGGGAGAATCATTTTTGCACAGGCTGCACACAGAGATTATTTCATGCAGTAGCCAGAGTACAAGGAGATGCTCACATCTAAAGGTGACACCCCCTTCTAACACACTCATACCCACTCCAAGTAACTACAGGTAATTATTAACCACCACCCCTGATCTTTGCACTTTACAGACACCTCGATCCAATCTCATTTATATTAAACTCTCACTCACATGGAACTCCAACATTCAGCAAGTCTCAACATCTTTGTCAGGGGGTTAAAAATCCAGGAAGAGAGGAGGGCAAGCCACAAGGCAGAGTCAGAGAGACACTCAGGGCTGAAGTGGAAAGGAGACACAGCTGTTCTGGCTTCCCATCCACTGTGCAACCACTTATTTCAAATCCATACCTACAGATTTCTGGAGGTTTTTTTCCTGTTTCCACACAAGCTCAGGGCAAACCCCAGGGAAAGGGAAGGGTGTAGCTAACAGGTTTGTATTTTCAGGAAGGAATGAGCCTAGCATCATGTCAAAATTCATATAATATTTTGAATTTCCTTGTTAGGGAAAAAGCTTTAGACATTACATTAAAAACTTATACACAAGTAAGTATGTTGAGCTAGACATTTAAATTACTCCTGTGGGACGTTTGTCAGAGAAAATCCAGCTTGCCTTATGGCAATGCTAATCTTCTCATATCTGTTTCACTTTTTATCCTTGCACCTGCCTGTTTTAACAAGATTAAGAATTAAGCTGGAAGAGGGCTGTCTGTCAAGGAATACCAATTAATCTATTGATTTAATCATCAGAATAACAACCAAATGGAGTTCTTGGCCCAGGCAAACAGAATGTTTTTATTGCATTATAATTCAAACTCCCAGTCATGCTTGTGGCAGGCTGTGTCACCAGACTGCAGAGGAAACAACTAGGAGGGCAAAAGAGACACTGGAGTTTTCTTGTCAAAGGATTCTTACTTAACTCTTATGGCCAAAAGGAAGATTTTTCATGTGATCTTGCCACAGAATTTTTGTAAAATAAGAAATTCTGTTTTTCTGATCACTGACAGATCCAACCAAAGTCACGTAGGGAGTGTTTAAACAGGAATGCACATGCTTATCGTTGTGAAACCAGGCTCCATTCACAGAGCTCACATCTCATCTCAAATCACAGCTCTGAGCTGCATTACTGCTGACTAAAGGAGTTTGCTATCACCTAGCTCCAAGCAGAACCTGCTAGTTCAGAGTTATCACCTAGCTCCAAGCAGAACCTGCTAGTTCAGGAAAGTTTCTGCACTTGCAGCAGACTTGGCCAGATTTATTAACATAAGCTACCACAACCTACAAGACAGACAACACAAAAAACATCCATGTACCATAGACTCACTAGTTGAGAATGAATGAATGTATGAATGAATGGGGAAAAGAGTGCAGCAAAATAAAAAGTTCTTTTCAAAGCTGAATGCCCAAAAGTAGCGCTAAGGATTGGATTCGTGGAGACACTTAAATGTTCATTATCGCAAAGCTTTTTAAGTTTTGCCATTTATCCACTCTGCCAATACACTGAAAGCAACTCCTATGACAGGCCACCCCAAAGTTTGAGATAATCAGCTCCATGCTAGAAGATCAGATCGCAAATAACTCACAGATGAGTTTTACTTGCTGAGAGAAACAGAGTGCAAACACACACAAAGTACGCACAGAAAGCAGCAAGGAAGGAGCAAACGGATCTGAAACAGACCAGGTTAACAAATGGAACTGAAGCAGACCAGGTTAACAAATGGACCTGAAACTGTCCAGGTAACAAACAGATCTGAAACAGACCAGGTTAACAAAGGGCTGTGGATCGGAGCCCTGGGAGGGCAGGCACAGGACAAGCACTCGCTGCCAGTGCCACAAACGCTGCCCGCTCCCGGCTGAGCGCACTTCCGCCTCCTCCCCTCCATTCAATCCCAGCGCTGGGATGCTCCCTCCATCTCCGTGCCATGCGGGCTCCAAACAGTTTTACCTGGGTGAGGGAAGCAGGCTGGAGAAAGCATGTGATCACACGGTAAGTTTATGCTTGTATTTGCTGGCATGAAGGGGGAAAACCCGCTATCAAAGAGGTTGCTTAATTAGAAAATGCGGTTAAATACTGAGTGTAATTGTGTGGAGCATGTGGGTCTGGAGCAGATTCAGCAGGGGAGTGTGTGCTTAAGGGGCAGCTGGGATAGCTGTGGACATCTGCAGCCGTTGCTTTAAGAGCAGTAAGTAAATGCTGCATGGTTAGAAAAGGAAAATAAGTTGCCCGTTTTGTCCTTTGTGCTGGAAGTCTGCTGCCCAAATGCTATTGCTCCTGAAGGAATTCAGCGTACACAAAGCTGAGACAAGCCAGAGCCCCTCTCCCCCCTCCCATGATCGGTACGCACTTCTCTTCCCGCTAGCTCACAGTTCTGACAATGCAGGGAAAAGAGAAAGAATGGCAGAGGAAAGCAGAGCACAGCTGTGCGTTGCAGAATCTCTCCATATTCATTTGCCAAACAAAGCCAGGACTCAAAAAGACAACGAAGATGCATTAGGACCATACCAAATCCACGCCTCTGAGCGGCGAGGGGCTCTCTAACAATGCATTCAAGCAACAGATAGAGATTTACCTTCAAAATGCAGGCCATGTTCTTTCTCTATCCTTCCTACCAAAGAGCAGCGGGGTTCTACTTTGTGAGCAGCAGTTGCAGTGTCAGGCAAGAGGCCGGTGGAGCTGCAGAACTGCCGGAGCCCACATTCCCGTGGATCCAAAGGAAGGCAGCACGCATCCAGGACCCGTTAGTCATGTTAGTCTTTTTATGCCCCGTTCGTTCCACCCATCAGCTCCTGCCACTGGCTGCGAGCCAGCCCAGCACCTCCCCTCCGTCACATGACCGGGTTTGATTCATGGCTCCAGCGTGTGTTCCTGACCTCGGGGCTCGGCACGGCGGCAATCCGTACCTTACAGGGCTCGGCAATGCCCGCCAGAGACTCGGTACGGCACCAATCCGTACCGTGCCGGGCTCTGCAATGCCCGCCAGGGACTCGGTACGGCACCAATCCGTACCTTACAGGGCTCGGCAATGCCCGCCAGGGACTCGGTACGGCACCAATCCGTACCTTACAGGGCTCGGCAATGCCCGCAGCCAGGCTGGGTGTTTGTCACTGATCCCGGGTGCGCTCAGGGCATGGCCGCTCACTGGCGGGCACAAAGGTCCAAACTCTCCCTGTTACTGCATTGTAAAAATCCTTACGCTGCTTGTTAGAGTGCAGTGTTGTTTTAGGTGCAGCCCTTTTCACTGTACAGCAGGCTTTCCTTTGTCTAAATTGCGGCCCTATGAGAAATAATCATTATCAGCAAGCAGCCTAAATGTCCCAGCAGGCGTGTTTGTGTTGGGCACGGCTTTTTGAGTGAAGAGCTGGCATCTGTCACAGGGAAACTCATTTGTGAGGTTTTTTGCTTGTGCAACTTTCTTTGGACTTTCTTAAGATAAGAAAGTGGGGTAAAGCGCAGATGAATAAATTCAGCTGTTGAAGAAATCTTTCACTTTACATAATCTCATCAAATTCAAATTCTTCTCTTACATAACATACTCTGTATATCTATATTACACAGGTTTTACTTCATATTTGTCACTTCTCCTGCAGTCTCTTTCTCCCTTTTTTACACTTTCTTAGTACTTTTCATTACTTCATCTTGGAACCCTTTGCATTTTCTGTACTTGGCACCTTCCCTGTATTCCTTTTGTGCCACAGTGCTCCACTCCTGCTGTTTTGGTACCAAAAGCTCTCCGGCTCCCTTAATAAATTCCTTGTAGTGGGTGTCTTTATGCTCTCTGCAGCAGCTCGTGTTTACATGCAGGCAGTACCCTCCAGTGCATGTTAAAGAATCATTTACCACAGAGCCCCTCAATGGGTGGGAGCCAGGAGGGTTAAACGGGCTGCACATTTAACACCAATACTGTTCCCAGCCTGGAGCCTCCCCTGTCCAGGTGCAATCCCCTCCAGAGAGTAAGTAGGTTGAAACTAAAGGATGGAGATATCCTCATTTGAATGCAGGGGCAAACCCTCCCTGAGCAGAGCAGAAAGGGCCTGGGGGGATTTCTCTTGCTCACACTCCTCAGCTGCCTTGCTGTGCATTTCCAGACATGGCAACGTGTGTTTGGCCTTTGCAAAGTGCTGTGCTCTTACACAGGTCCTGCAACTCCTCAGCACCTCTCACCACTGGAAATCCACTTCCTTCTTCAATTACAGCCGCAGGCCAAAGCTTTTGAGCTGAAAACTGTAATATTGCTGGGAAGGCTGATGAAAAATAACTTAATGAAGTTTCTGTCTGTATTGACTAACATAAGGAAATATCTCAATGACAAATCAGTGGAAGAAGGTGGTAAAACAGGGATTTACAACATTTTCTATTAGAGGCTACCACCAACCAGTGTTAGATCATTCTGGATAGCAGTTTATGTGTCTTTAAGTACTAGTTATTCATAAGGAGTTCTGTAAGAAAGTTGTTTCTTAGTGAATAAGATAAAGAATTAATTAATTCTTTCCTGAGTAAAAAAATAACTGCCTATTTTTCTCCCCAGCAGTCGAGAATCTTGTTTTCTTTGGAGTGAAACTATTCCTTTCACCTGTGTGATGGCATGAAAGAAGCTTGCATCTGAAGCAAAGGAAAAATATTCCACCCCCTTCTCACCACCCTCCAATACCAGCTCTGTAAAGAATAAAAAGAATTAGGCTGGAGAGAAACCATCCTGAAAAGGTCAACCATTTCAACATGTCCAAAGCATTGAGGGGTTTCCAGTGAATTATATTCCTCAGGGAAAGGCAGAGGCATGGGGAGTTGTCCGGTTTTCAGCATCTCTGACATGCTTTGATTCTAAACATCACATCAGACAAAATGTGGTGAACTTTAACTTTTAGACTTTTTGTAAATAGATATTTATCTTAAAAATACTTCATCATTAGTATGAACAGCAACAGCCATCCTTCTCTCTTTCTTTCAGGAGATAAGATTTAATTTTATTTTTTCCTTGGTACAAAACTGAAGGTGTGACTTGAGCTGAGATCACCACAAAGAGCAACAGAAAGTCCAGCCTTGGGCTGAGCTAATTTCACTTCAGAGAAACTACACGAGGAAAGGCATCCACCAAATGATAAAAGCAAACAGCCCCTGTAAGCACATCGTTCCACAGCTCTCATGAAGTGCTTTACCTGAACTTATGATACTCTTGAAATCAGCTTTAGGCCAAACGTAGCTCACATAAATTTCAGTCAGGCTTGCAGCTTTCCACCCAAAATTAACACGGCTGTTGTTGCCTGTCAAAGGGATGTCAAAGGCAGTGTGAATCTGCCTTTCAAGTCTGAGTCATTGTGACAGGCCACACAAAGTCACTGCTTCTGGTTCTGAGGACAAAGACCTTTAGTTCTGGGGACAAAGACCTTGCATGTTTTCCATCTAGCCCAAACCCTTCTGATACATTCGTGTGGTGACACAACCTTGGGGAAAATATGGTTGTGTGGGCAGCAGCCCTTTGCAATTCTAACTCTTAGAAACTAATTCTGTCATAAGAAATAAATCCTTCTTGGAGAAGGCTGATTGAACCTTAATTTGCAGAGGTTAATGCAGATGCACAATCCAGCATCCAAGCAGGGGTTTGTGGTGCCAGTGTGGGCAGCTCTGCTGGGCAGGCTGTGCCAGAACAATTGGGTTTGGTTGGTGCCTGGACACCGTGGCACAGATGAAACTGCACTTTCACCTATGGTAGAACTTCAGAACTTCAAAACCAAAACCTCATATTTAAGCAATAAGGTAATTTTTTAGTCCCATATCTGTATTTTAAAAGTGCAGGCTTACAGACACTCTGAAAGCTGTCATCTCACTGATCATTGGAATCAGACTATGGTTCATGTAGTGAAAATGTGCCAAAAAGGAAGAACCTGCTCTTACACTTGCTGCCACTACAAAGTTTTATCAGACAATGATGACACAAGGGGACATTTTTCACCGTTCAGGTGCAACCTGAGTCAGTGGCAGAGTAACAGATCCACTCTGCTGTTATCCAGAGATCTCATCTTCACAACCTTCTCCCTACCTCATGTAACACACCACTATAAGTGAGAAATTTAAGGTACCCAGCAGCCCAATGCCATGGCAGAGGGAGAGGATGAAATTATTAAGAAAACAGCAGGTTAAAAAATTGAACAGGAAATCTTACCAGGTTATGCAAATGCTACGTGAAATTTTAATTTAAAACTCATGATGATGCTGATTTTCCAGGTAAGAAAAAAAGGCTTAATGAAGCTTGACTAATTAATTTTAGAGGTGAACCTCTGCTACATTCTGCAGTGCAGAAGCTGAGGAGAGCAGGTGGGGCTTGTTACAGCCTAAATTCTACTGTTACTTTTCAGAGCATCCTTACAGCTTAAAGCAAGCTTGCCATGTGCACCTTACTGAAACAACCAGTATATATTGCCCTGCCCAGATTCCTTCCCAGCACAATTCATCTGAACCTCACTCAGCTGCAGGACAACCCAGATCCATTAAAAAAAAAGTTTTAGTCCCTGAATACCTCTGCATGTGTTCCTGGCAGGAGACAAGGAGTGCTGGGCACCATTCCTGCCATTGGAAGTTCAGCTCCTCACCTCCCTGTTACTCAGTGTCATGGTAACAATTCAGCACAGCCACACAGCACTTGCAGACCTGGCATGTCCTGGTGTTCCCCCCCAGCCCCATTCTAATGCACACACACAAACTCTCAAATCAAGGCCTCCTAACTTTATTTCAACTAAACATTCTTTAAAAAAATTATTTAAGAATTTAAAAATCAATGTTGGCCGCACCTAACAACATGTAAATATGCAGAGATCAAAACAGAAAGGTCTGTAGAGGTTCTTGGAAGTAGAAAAAAGCAAACTCTAGAAATCAGTAATCTTTTCAGACTGCTGATATTTTATTTTCAATGCATGCTCATCTGAGAGCTTCAGGTTTCTGTTTTCAAATATGCTTATTAACCAGTGATCATTTTCCACTGAACCACATATTATTGGGATTTTTTAAATATAAATGAAAAAGTGCATGTTTTCTGTTATTTGTAATTTATTTTTAATTAAATGTGTTTTAACAAAAACAATGGCTTTTTTTTTATGCAGGGAAGAAAAACCAAAACAAAACAAAAATCCCACATGCTTAGAAAAGAACAGTGTCTCTCCCAGACAGCTTTCCTCTAATTAAAACAGGCCAAGCAACTCTGAAGGAGTGCTGTGTCTGCTTATGCCACTAAACGTTTTGTCTGTATAAAAATAGTACAATAATCAACTCTATGAATTGCTGCAGCCTCCATGAGAGGAAAACCCACCAGTAAATATTCTGAAGGGTGTTCAAAAGCTAAATGATGTGTTTGAAAATGCTCTGTCATTTGCAAGTAACTGTTGACTGGAGAATATGGTTGGTCAATAGGTATTTCTTGTACATTCTTCAGTAAAAGATGGATTTGGTTTTTCCACTATAAAGTTTTTACATTCTTTGCTGTGTTATCAATGCTTTACACTCCCACTATTTTTATGAGCTATAACTAACATCACAAAAGTACTGATACTGTTTCACACTGAGATATGGCCATGTCACTTTATCCTCTAATGAGATTTTATCTGGAGAATACAGCTGAGCACATAAAAGGAGCTTAGGAAAAGGAACCAGCCCAACTTCAATCGTGGCATGGAAGGCCTTAAATTGGAACAAAATTTAAATGCAGCATTTCAGTTTAGGAGAATGCCTCCCCCTGAACTAAGGAAGCAGAGACACATCCTGCCTCCCTCCTCCAAAGATCCAGCCTGTTTTTG